TGACCTCAGAAATTTAAATCAAAAGGAGCTTGTCAAAAATTTGGATGTCTTGCTCAAGGTGTAGTGTTTTGTATTTCGCTACATCTCGCTACAACACTCTCTCCCTTCTCACAGCAACAACAGCCGTTATATCTCTCCCCCTCCGAACGGGGCACACACTACACGGGGAAGATTGTTTGTCAGAGAGAGCAGAAGGATATTAAGCGCGTATTAAGGAGAGTGCACCCAAAATTGTGGTGGCGTGCCAAAATTTTGAATCAAATTGATTCAGTGTGATACATATCACAGAAACTGTTCCTTCTGGGTGTTACACTATTCCACATCCACCACACTATCAGTCGAAGAACTGAGGCACTATTTGGGACAAAATTAAGTACTTTTTACTGCGGGACCATACACAAGAGCCATATTAAAAAATCGGACGGACTAGCGAGATAAAGAGGGTCATTGTTATATAAGGGCTATCAAATTCCTTTGACTACCTCTTTATAAAATCAAGCACGCCCATGTCCTTATTTACCATGGTAGAAATGTGTTCAGAAATGTTTAGCTTATATTATAACTCTAGATCTAATAATTCTCTGTGGTACTGCCGAAAACACCTTCACTGGTGAGGAAAGGGAGTTTTTGAAGAGGACTCTTTGAGACCTGGAACAAAGATAGCTAGAAATCCATCTCAGAAGGTTGGGCGGAAACCCTAAAAGGTCAAGTTTTACAGAGTAAAATGCTTTACTAAAGTCGGTGTAAATAACATCCGAATATAAGTTTCCTTGAAAGCCGTTAACGATGAAGGGGGCCAACTCTAATTAATTTGTGGTAGTTGATTGCCGCCCTATAAATCCATACTGAGCTGAAGATATAAGTGATTTGCAGAGAAGTTGCACGTGCGGAATGCGTCAGACTTGCTACCTTTCTTAGGGAGAGGAATTATAAACGATTTCTTCTAGATCGGCGGTAATCAAGAAGAATGGAACGGGCGAATAGTTTAACCAAGGGTCCACACAGATCCTCGGAGCAGTACCTGAGTACAGAGCCGGGAACTCGCTCTGGTCCCGAGAAAAACACTGGCCTAACTATTCGAAGATCATGAAGCAGAGGGCTGAAAATGCAGGTCGACCTTGGTAAATCGTATGGGTACGGCTGGCCAGAGTAGCTTTTAGATTTTAGATCGGCTATTGCCTGATCATTTTTTTCCGACGTATGTAACGTGTAACGCTCGTCTAAGCTAGACGGAGAGGAGGGGCGATCTGCAAAGGCGGGGCACGCTTTAAATGTTCCGGCTCTAGCTCGTCGGCTTTGGGGGTGGTGGTTTTGCGCGTGCAGATCGTCTCCATTTTGCAACACTATCACGCGATAATTTTAAGGATTTTTTTTCCTAAGAATTGAGCGTGCTGCGACTATACGGTGCTAGAACTACCGGTAGAACGACAAAAAAGATAAAAGAAAACGCTTCGAAAAGAATAGTGAAGAGAGCGGTAGAGAAGGGAGGAGAAGATGAGAGAGAGAGAGAGAAAGAGGGAGAGAGAGCGAGAGGGAGAGAGAGCGAGAGAGAAGGGAGAGAGAGAAAGGAGAAAGAGAGTGAAGAGTGAGAGAAAGAGGAGGAGATATCGGTTGCTATCCCACGGATGTCAGTGTGGTAGCTCATTTTGCCCACCCAACCTATGACCATCTTCCTCAAAACTGGAAGTTTCAGATGGCCCCTTTAGCTAGATCGCGGTTACACACACGCCGGCACAGAGTTCATTCTTTCGTATCTTTATTCCATTATTCCATTCCATTATATATTTGTTCGAGAAACGGTTAAAACTAATATAATCTTTGATGGCATATTTTTCTAATTCTAGTGATTTATAGCGAGTATATGTATATGAGGATTCTGAGGCGAATATAAAGTGAGGTGAGGTGGAGTTAATAATTAAGGTTTATCTTATGGTTAACAGGGTATTCCTGGCACAAATTCATTTCTATTTTCTTTTAATTCGGTTGCTTGTATACAACTGGCAATATGTGATATAGTGAGGAAAGTGTAAGATTGTAGCTATTCCTTAGCGATTTTATCGTATATTCGAGTCTTATTATCTTTTTTTTTTTTGAGAGCTTAGGATCGGGCGCACCCACTAGAATCAAACGAAAGTCGCAGGATTTTACTCACGCAGTCATGCTTCTACATCGGCGAAAGATCGATCTTCCGGCGACTGCTGAAATAGAACGTTATCCTTTCGTTCGTTTACATTAGTGTTTTCGCGACCCTTGGTTTCCCTCATGCGTGGTTAGTCCTAAAACCAATAAATTTCTGTTTTTTTTTTTCTGTTTTGGTACTTCTTAGGTTTCTCACAATTTCCTCTATCTATTTTCAATATTTTATATAAATTCTTAATTCGAACGGGCACAACTAATATTTAAAGCTAAATCTTAGGAACTTCATTTGTTTGTTTTGGAACTGATAGTTTGGAAACTGATATCCGGTGTCCGAAGAGCGTATTTATCAATTTTAATTCTGCAGGGCTGCTCTCGGGCTATAATTTTCTTTAACACCGGCTTTAATGAGCCTTTTCTAAACACGGACTGAGATCTGGATTATACGTCGACGAAACTCTATCAATACAGGGCTCTATGGAAGCGGGAACGGTAGATTGTATTTTCTTTAAAAGTTTATAAAAACGTTTAGCGTTGCAAGGCTCGAATGCGCCTGGTTTTGTCAGCACACACTCCTCGCCGGGCGACATGGGCGCCGGTTGGGGACGGGGAGCGGCCAACGAGAATCGCTTGTTGATGCGGCACGTGGAATCTACGGAGCCTCTCGGCGGATCCGGGAAAAGCGATGAGCCAGTGTGCTGACGCCTGCGATTTCCAGGCGGGTCGAAGAACTCCACTTTGCTGGTCACTCTTTGGTGCCGCAAACGTGGGGTGCCTTACGGCGCCTTAGCACGGGTCGCGCTAGGCTGGGGCGCGTAAGGCGGCGTCTTCCCGAGGAGCTGGTCGGCAATTTCCGCAGGAAATCTTTTGCTGCGCAAAAATACGAGCTACCTCTATTAGATATTCGTCCGGAGAATGGGGATCGACATTTATCTTACCGCAGTGGCAGCGATATCCGTGGATGTACAGATTAATCCAGCCTCTGGCGGTTCTCTGGTTTTGAACGCCAACAGAAGAGGTTGCTCCCGCAGAAAACGGCTACACTTATAGACCTTCCGGCACTGTACACACTTTCGACTTTATTTAGTGGAATTCGGCGCGGATGGCAAACTTTTCACTGTTTGAAAAAAACCCGTCTCGTCGGCTTGATTGTCGTACAGGAAAGATCGAAGCCGGAAACCTGCTCTGGCCACTTGACATTTGCATGCACTCTTGCATGGGGAGGTTACGCCCTCTAGGTTTTCAAAATTAAGCAACCCTGACCTCGGTTGATTTCGATAATTGTCAATCCTGCGGTCAGCTGTCCAGGCAGCTGATCGGCAAGGCACCTTCCAACACTTACAAAGTCGACTCATGACCCCTACACGTATTCCGAGGATAGGTGTGCGGCTGTTCCACGCTTACTGTTTACGAAGCTGTAAAACTGCTTAGAAAGGGAGAAATTTGACCGAGCTATTACCTAGTGAGAAAGAGAATAAGGAGAACCAACTTCTTGAAATTTGTTATACAAGTCCTGATTTTAAGTCTTTTAGACTGGATAACTCTTTGGTGAGGAGGCTGAGATCTAATTGGACAAGAAAGCGGGACACAGGAATTATAAAATAGGTAAAGTACATTGTAAAAAGTGTGTGTGCCTAGTGAGGTTATTAAGCTTCGCAAGCTCTGCTTTACGAAAGAAGCGGTTCAGATAGCCTACCCGACCGATGCAATACAGTTAGTCCTATATCGAGCGACACTTCGAAAGTAGGATGTTAGGCTTCTTCAGGTATACTGAGCGGAAGGCCTTGGAGTGAGACCCATTTACCGAAGACCAAATAGTACATGACAAGTTAAGGCCAAGAAGGCCCAAGAACTGTCATATGATCTTTATCTGATAGCGAGGAAGAAACAGTTTTTAAAGCGGACAGGTGATGCTCGTAAATTGAACTATCAGAAAAAGGTGGAATATAGGAGCAAGTAATAAAGATAGCATTGGCGGAAAGAATCAGTTTTACACACTGGAACTACAGTTCTTCTTGAACGTGGACTGTGAACTGCTCCGACGTGAAGTTGAGAGTTTGAGAGCATTGTAATCAGAACCCCTCCTGCACGCCGACCTGACAACACTTTAGAACTAAGAATGTCCGGTAAGTCTCGGTAAACACAATAGCGTGGGACGAAAATGCGACACTATCCCGAAAAGGAGTGCTGAGCTTACTACGTAAGCCTCTGATAGGTTACAAAAGTTGGTTTTATGGACGGGTGGCAAGAGGACGGGAAGATGAGGATGGCACTTTGGGAGACGGTTGTCTTAAGCTATCTCCCTAACATGAAAGAAGTCAAATTTCTCCACACTTAAGCGGTCGCGATGGCTTTTATTTTTCTCTGTATAAAATCAGCTATATCATTAGATGTGAGGTCCGGGCAAGCCGTGAGATAAAACCATGGCGCATTGGTGGGACCCCACCAGTTGTTTTTGGCACCACAGGCCTGGTACCTGCGATGGCAGTATCTGGTGGTCTTCTATTTACTGTTGGGTTCGGAATGGCAGTGATAGCTTGGGACTTTACGGACTTGCCGAACACCGACTAAAGAACCAGTAGGCTGGTAAGAAAGTTTATTATTTTGTTAAAAAACCGGCAGTGTATAAAGTAATAAAAGGAAAAAGTAAAGTAAAGAGATTAATTTTGATGCCTGAATATATTGTATTAGGTAGCACTATATTTAGTCAAAAAATGACAACAATTGAACATACGATTTGAAAGATAAACACCAAAAAACTTACCTGACGTTACGTTATTAAAAAACAAGTGTGCTTTCGATAGTTGTCAGTAAACAAGAAAAACTCAAAGCATTCAACAACGCAGCTCGACTAACTACAAACAAAATATTACATTTTTCCTAGTACCATACATATTTCCGTACTGTACTTAGTGGTACTTATACAGTCGTCGGATAATGTCAAACATATCAAAACGCCCGACACCCACGATGAAAAGCATTTCATCAGTGCCGCGATCTTCTCGGGGCCGCAATTTTCTCAATGAGAATAAGGTGAGCTTGAGCACCCTGGAAAAATCAACGAGTAAAAAACTAGCAGCGAAGGAGCCGGTGCGTCCGGCATGGATGCCGACACCTATGCGTCGCTCGGATCCCGAGGTACGGGAATCGAAAGGAGGAAAACCCCCTCCAGTATCGGTATCCAGACAAAGCACCCGGGAAACCAGTATGACACGCAACCGCAACAACTCTCGCTCGCATTACCAATTGGGTGTGGGCGCTCCAGAGTCTGGTCAACGCTATGGCGGCTTTGAAAAGCGCAATCCTGTGGTTTATAACCCACAGAAAGATGTGGTACATTCGCCGGACAATTATACAGAGCGCTGCAATTCTTGCGGCATCCAACACAGCTCCACAAGCATCGGCATACAGACAGAGGATATCACCGATGAACGCTTTCTTACAAAAGCCCTGCAAAAGTAAGAAGAGAAAGCAGAAGAAACACATTTCTCAATTTACCATTTTTTTTATCTTTTAGATGCAGTTTTGATGGTGGACCTATGCTGAGTGAGCTGACCAATAAATACGAAAACAACTACAAACAGTCCAGTCGGTACGATAAAAACGAAGACGAGGATCTGCTGTCACCTCGCACAAATGGCAAACAACAACAGCACAGTCGCTTCAACATGAATGAGTTGCAAATTGATTTGAAAACTGAAGTCGCTTCGGATGAGGAGTCTGTGCTCAGTGGCCGCAGCCGTTTTTCATCAAATGCTAGCACTACGTCCATGACATCCCAACGCCGCGAGCTCAAGCTGGAGAAGGAGAAGCGCGAAAAGGCTGCGACCAAGGAGCTTGCCGGTCTTAGTCTGCACGCGAATCAGGATCGTGTTGGGCACTTGAACAGCGCACAGAAGCGCTATGATGATCTCATCAGTGAGCTAAATCACATGCCCATCACCTCACAGACTATGCGGGTGCGCAGCCGCAAGGCAGAAATCGACAAGGAGCTGGCTATCGTAGATGAGGAGATACGCGTCTACTCCAAGCCCAACTTATACATCAACTCTACCAAATATAAGTAAAGTTGATAGCTAGCTACACGCATCGTCCCAAAAAAAATTTTTTCGGTATCTGACTAGTAGTATTAAGAATCCCCTAAACTATACCTACACCATACTAAACAGTACATATACCCTACGAAAGCTTTATGAAATTAATCTAGTTTTGTGTTTCGGCGTCATTAAGAGAGTCAGTCTTATAAGTGTATACAGCAGAACAACAACTCCATTAAACACCACAGAGCTTGGCTTGCAAAATTCTATAAAATTGTTAAATAAATTTAAATTATTTATATGATATATTATTTATATTATAACCATATAAAGTCTCTACAAAGCTGTAGGAGAATTCCGGCTTAAAAGAAAGCTCTGAGCATATTTCCGTCTGAGTCTGATCAGTCTCTTTAGCAGATTGCAATACCTTTTATACCTTTTCGCAATACCTTTTCCAAAATCCTTCAGTATTCCGTTGAAAATTGGAGTCTTAACGCTATGATTATGGGAGAGAGCGGCGGCGACCAGAATACAGTCACAGCCAGCGCCGCAGCAGCGAGGACAAGCCCCACAACGACCTCCAATTAGAAATAGTTAGCTATTTGGTGGCCACTTGCCACCCCTGTCTTTTTGCGTGTAAGAAATTTAGCACGCCACACGCACACAAAGACACCGATTTATGTCTGGCAGTTAGCAAGGAGCCTGGAGGCAGAAGCCAGAAGCCAGTAACCGTAGCCAGAGAAGGCACTTGGCAGCAACAGTTTCACCTTTGCGCCATATTTATGTTTGACACCACACAAAACACATACAAAACGACGGAAAGAGATGGCTAGAAAAGCTAGAAAGAGATGTGGTAGGAAGGGAGAGGGAAACAACCTTTGGTACGCGGTGACGTTACTTTTGACCTAGTAAAATGCAACAGCGTTATAGTCAAAGTGCAATGTTGTTGCTCTTCGCTCCGCCCTGCCCCCGCACCTCCAACCGTCGCCTGCAACAAATGCAATCGCTGGCACCAAAAAGAACCATCCCAAAACCACCCCGAGGGCAAACCACACTGAAAAAAAAACAATCAAAGATCGGTCAGTTAAGTGGGAAATGTAGGGAAATTAGGGAAAAGCTGAGGAAAGCTGGGATTAAACGTTAAATATGTTAAAAGGAAATATTTTACGGCAACATGGAATACACTAAAATTCATATGTTTAACTATCTAGCGATTACAGAAAAAACATATTTTCCAAAAAATTGTTATGATTTTTTGTCAATAAAAATGAGAAATAACACTTTTTTTATTATTTCACTAAAAGTAAAAAAAAAGAATCATTTCATTTTTTTTTAAGCTACAAATAAGAGTTGTTTCGTAAATTTTAGTTTAAAATCAAAAATAAAAGTTAAATGAAATACACCATGTGGTGTAGGATCCTTAATATTCAATATTCGAAAAGTATTGAGTCATAAATCAAGAATATTTTAATATGTGTGGTAATAAACCACTTGGTTCAAAAAGGGATATTTAATTTAACTTTTATAACTCTTATTTGTAGCTTTTAAAATAAAAATTAAATATAAGTCTTATTTTTATTTTTATTGAAATAATACAAATATAAAAGTGGTGCATCTAATTTATATTAAAAAAAACCAAAAAAAAAGTGTTATTTTTGATTTTTTAAACAAAAATTTGGAAATCTGGATACTGGGAAACTGCAGTTACGGTACCTGATTGGAACGTTCGACTAGGGAATGAAAAATAAAATGGATAACTAACTTAAATAACTAGATGACCAATAAAATATAATGCAAATGTATGAAAAAAGTATCTTCATGATTCCTTTTCTAAAGCTTCCCCGCAGTGCAACAAAAACTCGCCCAACACATACCATTCACATAGTGGATGCAACTGACAGCAGATGCATAAAGAAGCAGACAAAGGCAAAGGTTCCTCCATCCTGTCTCCATCCTGTCTCCATCCACCCCATCGTTGTGGCATTCAGCGCTATGTCTCTCTTTTTGATATGCATAATGTCGCTTCCCGAAAGAGTTTCCCCGTTGGCATTGACTTGAACCCGAGAGCTGTCGCCCACAAGAAGAGCCAAGAGGATGCTGCTCATTATAGATGGAGAATGGAGAATATAGGATGTAGGATGTGGGCATGTATCCTACTATCCAGTGGATTTGCGCGGTCGGTAGTACACGGTTTGGCAGGCGAGTCGCGTGCGGCAACCATCTTCAATGTGGCACTAACTAACTAGTTAGACACTAACAGCTGCCATTGTTAAAGGCGACCGGGTTACGGGTTTCGAGGTACGGGAAAGGTGGGGACCATGCAAATTTAAAAATGCATTACGTGTGAGTGTTTCCACCGAGTAGAAGGTAGATGGGTGCCTGCTTGGGCTTTGGACTGGCTTAGATTGATGCAATATATGGCTCACAGGGCAATAAAGTGAAAGTGAGCCAAAGGCAGTCCCAGCCAAAAAAAACTTAAAAAAGAAAAGGAAATGGAAAACAAGGCCAGTTTCTGTGTGTGTCTTCCTTCCAGGGGCCGTGGCGGGGCGGGTCGTTTCAAATAAAAAGGGTTTTCTCGCGGCATGTGGGGCACGGGTCACAATGAACATTAAACTCCAGCAAATGTTTGACTTGGCCGAATGTTTACCCATGTCAAAACCCGACTGAAAACAAAGAAAAAACATAATATTCATTATGAACAAACTATGTTTAAGAACAAAAGAAGGGAATGCTGTTAAGATGGCAACAGTTTGCTGGACAGTTTGCAAGGATCAGACAAAATCTAATTGAAATGTCAAAAGCTGCTCTTACAGGAGTCATTTTAAATGGCGTTTTTTTCGCAATTTCTATACGATGGCAAAATTTAAAGACACAGTGTTTTAAGAGAACCAGTTGGCTGTATTTTGAGCCAATACCTTCATTCGGAAACAGATTATAAAATGCTTTGTGCTGTCATCGGCTCTACAGAATCCACGTGTCACCTGGCCTCAGCTCTGCCCTAGAAAGATTATATCTATTGAGATTCTCAGCTTGTCGTAACCATGGACTTCAGCAAGCCACACGATTTCTCTAGATTCATTAGAAACCAGTCCCAGTCACAAAATTGTGCATCAAATGCTTAAATTTAGTTTTCAAATTAAAAAATTAATCGGCACACACACACACGACAGGAATTGCATTCTACTTAACTCCATTCACACATTCGAACACTCGTGCGGCAGGGGGCAGTGTGTTGCATAAAACAACCTGAAAAAAGTGCAACTTTTTATATCCCACTCTGGGATATACCAGTGAAACAATTAAAATGATTCACCTACAAGTTTTCATGAAGTCCGGTAATCGAAGAGTACATGTTCGATTTGTGGTGAAAGTGGATGTATGTAACCCCCAGAAGGACGCTTTTCCGAACGCATAAAGCCTTGTCTGTCTGTCTGAGTGTCTAGATCTCAGAGTTTACAAAAGCTAAATCAACCAAATTTTGAATCTGGACTCCTGTGAAATTTAAAAATTTCGCCTCGCCGCTTTCCGCCCCCACAAATAACGAAAATCTGTGGCATCCACAATTTTAAAGATACAAGAAAACCGATTAGAACAGATCGTATCATTATTATAGCCAGAAGGAATAAATCAAATTTTAGTGGCCACGCAAAGCCTTCCACACTTTTCCTCATCCAGGTTGCGCGCTCTCATGAGATAAAGAGACAGGTGTAAATAAAAAATGTTAGGACAAATGGAAACAGATCAAATCTAATGTATTCAAATTTTACCGGCTCGACCGATTTTTATATTTTTTTTTTTAGCAAAAAGTCCATTTTCCCTATTGCGAACAGTGATACAAAACGGCATATAAAATATTTTATATAAATAAGCTCACATGCATGTATACTGAATGAGTACAGAATATAGAAGTACAGCCGCGGCCTTTGCCGCGTCTCACAACGTTCCCCCTCGTTTTCATTTTCATTCCACACAAAAGCAGCACTTTTGGGGCAAAGAGAATTCAACTATTTGTGTGAGAGAGGGAGAGAGAAATGTTTTAGGGTATGTTTGAACAATTGGTGTTTTTTTTTTTGAGGGGGTTGGGGGAAAAGGATTCAAAGTATTCACTGTCAGAACCACAACAAAGCCAATCTTTGATGGCAGAAACTCAATTAACAAACATGGACCAGAACACACTTATACACAGAGGGAAAATATATACTCGTACTATATTTTCGCCCCTCCCCCTACCCACCATTTCCTGGAAACATTGACATGTATTAAAATACATTTTTGCATGTCCTGTGACAAGCATCAAGCATTGCGTCACAGCTCTGTTTCTTGAATGTGACTGAATTAGTTCAGATATATGTAGACTCCCGTATCTATGTATCTGCATGTGGAAGTGTATCTGTGTATGTGCATCTGTGTGTGGTATGGCCTAAATTGTGTCGGCAATTAATGCTGTCATTGTTGTTGGCATAATATTTCATCAGGCAGCCGCTTTCGTGAGCCAACATTTTGCACTCTGCATTCAAATAAACTCCCAAAATTGGTTTCGAATACATTTAAGTGTGTGTGTGTGTGTCTGCAAGGGCGACTCCCCCTTCCGTTGGATGTGGATACAGTGGGTGTACGCAGATTACTTAACAGCCATTGCCTGTAATCACCTTTTGTCTCAGTCACTGTTTTGGCCCAACTCCAGTCACACTTTTTGCAGTTTTAGTACCATTCTTGTATTGCCTTTCAAATTAAATGGCATTTCACTCAAAAGTTCCACCTAACTTTTTTATACGCTACAAGAATTTTAATAAGGAATCATCATTGGATATTGACCTCAGCATCGGATGAGGACTGTCAACTTCTCCCAATAGACACTGTTATTCTTTTTTTTGGGGCTGTGTAAGTAATTTTCTACAAAAAGAATGATAAAGCAAAGCGGCAGGTGACACTGGTTGCAGGGCTGTTCAAGGGGAATATTATTAGGACTTTCGGATATCCTTTTTGTGGAGCTAATTAGAAATTATCCTTTAAACATGGATATTTCTTTAGTAGAATGCTTATAGATAAACTCACTCATACACAAAAAATACCTAGCTCAGAAACTCGTAGAAAGTGAATAAAATGTAAATTAAAGAAGGAGAGGAAAGTTACAGATTTGATAGAATCTCGAGTCTGATTACGCAGGCTGACAATAAATTTTCCATGTTAATATTGGCTTTTCTAAGAAATTGCAATCAATCGTCTTATCAATTTCAAAGAAAAAACCATTCGCTATTAGTCTATGTACTATAGCCGGCACTCAGTCAGTAATTATGTGAGCTTATGATTTATGTAACCTATACAATATATTTTATGCGCAAGTGCACGAAAGCGCCTAAATTTGTATCGGAGCCGATGAAAAAAGGACGGACACACTCGGCTATCGATGCTGATCAGAAAGGACTTTAGACAGTCGGAAACGCTTCCCTTTGTGTTACACACATCCAAAACAAAACAAAACTAATATATGTATAACTAAACGCTACGAGTACCGGGTACAGGCATGCAAAAAACAGGCAGTTTACTTTTATCGGGGTGCATTATTTAAAAAACTATTCCATTGCACGAGAGACAAAGAGTCAAAAAAAAATAAAAATAAGTAATCGAATTGAATAGTAAAATAAGCAAATAAATCAAACAAAATTTAAAATTGTCGTTTGCAGACAACAGAAAATCTAGTAAACGCCCATGCATAAATATCTCTGCTGAAAAGCCTTTACCAAATTTCGCCGGAACTGTTCATTAGTCCGTATATTGAACAGGAATAGGAGAATGCGAATGCAAGTACCTGTTTGCTTTCGTGAGAACTGACATTCAAAATTCAAAAGAACGTACGTTCCCTTGCAAAGGGCTGCCTCGTATGGGTGTATGGAAGGGGGAAATTCCAATGAACGCTCTTTGACGTCTGACTTATTATAGTTTTTGGATACGGAAAACCTGATGGGACTATTGGTTGCAAGTGCGTGCAAGTGCAAGTGGACACTCGAGTGTCACAGGTTGCGTTGGATGGGAGCACACAAAAGTCAAAACATTTTGAGTACATCCCCTCGGTGCCTCAATCCTTTGCAGCAAATGTCGCAATCAAAAATCATCTCCTGTGGTGTAGAAATTGTGCATACGCAATGTTTTCAGAAGAAGAGGCAGGGCCTCTTACAAGGGCCACTATTATCATATGGCATAAATATCAATTGTTCCGTGATGAACACTCTTCTACTCTCATGTGGCAGCCGCCCACACACAAAAAAATAACAAGTATTTTACAAAATCAACACGAAAAAATTTCTTGTGCGCCAAACAGCTCACAAAAATAAACAAAGTGATAAAGAAAGTAAAAGAGAGGAAAAGAGCAGGAAGTACAAATACCCTTGGTATTTGGTAAATACCATTGGAATACCCTAGATGGTTAGAGAAATAACAAAAATGAAATAAAATATGAGTAATTCATGATAATTCTGTAATTCAAAGTTACACCCAAAGAAATGGGCCCTCATATTTAAAATAGATATATTTCAATTAATTATATTCCCTACAAATTGAATATACATACATATTCAGCCAGGCTCCGTTTTTCACATTCACTAAAGTGAATGTTTACTTTTACTTTACTTTTGAATACACATAAATTGGGGCTTCCGTTTTCACAACGAATACATTTCCGTGCAAAAGGAAAAAAATAAATGACTTATTGGTGCATTAACATAAACTTGACACCTACATATATCAGGGTAATTTAACTTTTGCTTTCTTTATAAATAATTTTATTTTAACCCAATCTCAAATTTGGCTCGGAAAAAATTGGCCAGGGCAACAAAAATTTTCGTTTTGGTGCAAACAGCAAAAAAATGTGAAAACTGGAGAACCTCAAAACGAAAACGAAACGCAACGTTTCCGCAAGAGTAAATGAAAAACGGAGCCTGCCTGATTATATGGTATTAAACTGACTTTCAGTATTTTTTTCTATTTAAAAACCGAACATTTAATTTTAATATCGGTATGTCTCTTTTCAAAATTCCATTTTTCTTTGAGTGCAGATAATATGAGTACTTCGAATCGAGATCTGAAAAAATCCGTATTTAATTCCCTTCCTTCTTTATTTTCTAGATATATTTGAAGTTTGAAGGAAGTGGCTCTTGCATATAAGATATATTCCATTCGATATATTCCTACAAAAATAAGGTTATCCGAAATTCATATTTATGAATACTATATGTATAACCAAATAAACTGTTTGATTTCTGTTTCGTCTCTTATTTCAGACGTTTTATTTCATCGTACCATAAATCGACACCTTTATTCGAGAATCACCTCAAGAACGAAATAAGGACATTGTGTTTGATATATTTGCCAACTTATATTCCCGGCTCATCATCAAATGTCATTTACAGCGCATCGAGGGACAAGCAAGAAAGTAAGATTTAGCGGAGGAAGAAGCGACGCGACCGTTCAGGTTCTGAACAAAACCGAAACCAAAATGCAAAACGTGACTTTTCCTGGTGCCGTCGACTGAGGCGCTAACTGACAGACTTTCCCACTGCGGGTGGACAGTGGGTGGAGGAGGGGTAGGCTGGCGAATGGACAGCCAGCCAGACGAATGGATGGATGGATGGACCGACTTGGGGGCTGGCAGTTTTGTAAATTTGTTTGCCTTTCCTCGCGCGGTCTTTGCAATTATAACAATAATTATTAGTGGAGCAAGTCAAGAAGCAACCAAGCCACACCACACCACACTGGTGGGTCGTCGCGACGACCAGCCCTTTTAATATCAATAAGCGGCAGGAGAGGCGAGACGCGGTCTCTGTGGATGATGAGGCGCGAGGGGCAAGGGGTACGAAAATGAAATCCCCAATTGTTTGATTCTCGGATGTAATATGAGCAACCACCAAAAAAAAGATACAAGGCGAGATTTTTAAGGAGAAGATATGGGGAGAGATATAAACGATATATTTACTAAGGAATACTTGTTACTGCGACCCATTTATAGAGATGTAATGGAATCGAATGGGAATCCTTGCAGAGATGTAATCCCTTTCTGATTAAAATAGTTATTGCGAAGTAGACACTGAATATATTTATGAATCTAACAATTACCATACGCCAAATCCTGATCCTGATCCTGAGTAGCTAAGGGTGTTGTATCCAATATTCTCTGTTGTGTCTGCCACCAATGAAGCGGCACATTCTTCGTTTAGGGGCAAGATATCAGCTACTTAAGGGGCAGCCCTCGTATATGGATGTCTCCTCGTTGTGGCCATCACCTGAATTGAGTAGAACCGAGGAGAGCAGAGCAGAGCAGAGTAGACTGGAGTGGAGCAGAGCAGAACTCTCATAAAAATCAATTTCAATTTTCAACTAACGACAAATGTGCGCATTATGCAACGGTCGGTCGGTCGGAAGGTCGTTCGTTTCTCGATAACAGAGACTATGGTGACGCAGAGGAAACTTGAAGGAAACCGCAGGCTGACCGAGTTTTTGGGGGTTTGCTGGATGGGTTTGGGTGGTGGTGGTGCTGCTGCTGTTGCTGGTGGGTTTGTGGGAGGTACTACTGCTGCTCGGGGGGTGGGTGGTTTGTTGCTTTCGAAGTGAGTTAAACCGCAAGAACCGCTCGCTTGGCGAACTGCGGCCTGACCTGCTTACTTGAGTGCTGGACACAAAATACGGGGGGTTTTTCTCTATGAGTGTGTGTGCGTGCAACATGCAACAAGCTTGCCTGCTTGCCGGCCCGCCCCTCCCTTCAGGTGTCTGACGTCAATGAACACGCAACCCCACCACAATGGCCACAATGCAACAGACAGGGCACAGAGGACAACGACAACAACAATAGCAAAACTTCAGTGCAATGCGATGACAAATGATTAAAAACCAAACAAAAAGAAAGTTTCAAGAGTTTTCCCAGTTTTCCCTCTAGCAAAAGCAAAAGAAACAAACATTAAAAGGATTTTCCTTACCCCGTTGGACAACCAACAAGTTTCCCATTTAACAATGACTGCAGGCCATACAAACTAGCTTTTTTATCAAAATCGAGATAGTGCAACAATCGATTTATCGATAATCTTTCGATAATTTTATAATTAAAGTGCAGCCAAAAAATATTGTGTAATGCAATATCTTTGGCTCGGAGAACGACTGAATATCAGGGAAAAGACCTAACCGGCGGCATCCTTGAGGGCGGCACGCGTGGCGAATCGTTGCTTCGTAGCCAACAAGTAGACGGGCCAGATGGACCAGACGGGCCAGGGTTAAACAATCATTCAAAATCTTCTGCTTCTCCAAATCGGTCTTGAATGGCTTCAGAATGTCGTTGCAAACCAACGAGATGTGGTCTTCATTCTCTCATTCCCGTCCTTTCTGCCGATCATTTATGCATCCATTCGCATTTTCAGCATTGCCCTAACCAGTCAAATCTCTCCACTTGTGTTGATGGGTGGACCTGCCTCCTAACCATTTCCACGGTTGCCATGATGCCTTTTGGGGACGGTCAAAATGGCTCTAGGATGTCATGTGCCAGTGCTATGGACCCAGCATTATCCAGCAAGCCCACAGCGTCCATTGGGTAAAATATGTTTAAGTTTATTGTTTATCAGAGGATCTCCGCGCTTTCACATTTATCTTTTTTTTGTAAGTCCCAGCATCAAGGTTTTTCTTAAGTTAAAGAATTTGTTAAATGAATCAGAAGACAATCTGTAAGAAAAATACTACCTCTTGCCCAGACAGAGATTGGAACTGTTCCCATAATCGCCTGCTGACATAGTAATTAATTAAGTTCTGGCCTAATCCATATGGTAAGTAACTAAGTCCAACTGTTTGACACGAAACCACATACAGACTGAGAGCTCTGGTGTGGTGAGTGCTAATGCACCCTGATATGCCCATTGATCAATGGCATTGTCTTAAGAGCCTTACCGACGTTTTTTGTGTTTTGAATAAGTCCCGCGCCCTCTGTGACAGTGAGAGATGAGTGCAGAGTGAGTTGAGATAATGGGAATTATGAATAGACCACCCACAAAACGAGATAAAAGATAAAATATATAATATGATATACCATTCTGGTATAACTGGTAAAACTGTATCAGCTGTATTTTTAATCTTTAAGATCTCTTTGTAACCATTCTTCTAATCCGATTTTTATTTAAATTTGAAAGGACTTACCTTATTTACGATATATTGGGTATTAAAGTCCACACAATATCTGAAATAAAAACGGATTTTCTCATTACAACAATTACGAAGAGAGAACAACGAAGAGAGGGTTCAAATATAATCAATTCTATTTGATTAACTGTTAAATCAAATCGAGAGTGTAAACAATATGTTAACAACTTTATTATCGCACATCGATATGGGAGCTGTCGGTGACGGTGACGGTGCCGGCGCCAGTTCGGTTTCGGGGGGATGTTGGTGGGCGAACCTTGTGCGGGCCTCTATGTGTAATTCCGAGTAAGTAGTACGATACTTCGATTATTCGACTACTCGTATGCGTATGAGTCAGTAAGTAGACCAACATTTGAGCACTGTGTACCCCCACAGCCGGCCATAGATAAAACGACACAAAAACAGAGAAAAGCAACTAAACCCCAAATGAGAATGAAACAAAAAAAGTAGTTACTACCGACTAGAGGATACCCATTACACAGGTTTCATTGCGACCTATCTAATGGGGAAAACTGTTTTTAGAGAAGGCAGACGTTTCCTTGATCGGCTTGCTATCCCATTCCGATGGATCTATAAATTATAATATTATATACAAATACAAATATCAATATTTTGTATTTTTAAATTGTGGATGCGACATATTTAAATTAAATATTCGGGTTTTAAATTGATTTAAACAAGAATGTGTTAAAGAGTCGTTTTAATAAGACCCATATTTAATCTAAATATATAACACTATAAAATAAAAATAGTATACAAAATTTCAAGGAAATATTTTTAATCTAAGTATACAAATATTTAATTTAAATACGAAAACTATTTATTTTAAATATGAAGTATGTATCAAAATTTAAGTGAAAACTTTAGCTTTTTATATTTTCCACACTCGGTGCAAATCTATTGGAATGTAAATACTAAAATTTTAGGACTGTACATGTTCTCTATAGACTCTATAGACTCTCTACGAGGAGAAATAGATGTGAGGGAAATAAAAATGCAAAAAACCATTTGGAATTGTGGCCATTCGTTCGGTGAATATAATGAGGCAACAGCAGCAAAAGCAATGGCAATGGCAATGGCAATGGCAATGGCAACGGCAACGGGGCGTACGATGAGGGGATAAGGGGCAGTGCGGCATCGATGCCGGGGCGTAATTAAAAATTTCTTATCTGCGAGTATTTCCATTTTCAATTGTTAATTGTTGTGGCTCTGGGGTTCTACTAATACTATGCGTATGTACAGACAGGTAATGTATCTATATCTACATAAATTTATGTGTGTACGAGTAAACACATGGCCATATACACTGGGCCGCACTGTACAAAGGAATCCCCTTAAACAGGAGTGAAATGTAAGATCTGTAAAGAAACGGATTTGAGATCTTTACTCTTGGCTTTTATATCATATAATGAATTAACTGATATTAAAACAAGTTTAATCGCATACTCGATGATAAGATAGTTTGCCTGAGAGATACATATCATTCCTTAATATTGTATGTATGTATTTTTATGTGGCCGAAAAAAGTGAACTTTGAATGACAGGAAAAAGGGGAATATAGATTAGAAAAGATTACCTAAGGTTAGGCAATAGAAAGTACGTTTAAAAGAACTTAAGATAAGCGTAGGAGAACGAGACGGTTACCATAGATTGCGTTATCCCTGGTTAGGGTCTGTGTATCTGCTGTATTTTTCCTTTCAAAGTTTGGAAAAAGCTGCACAGGATTATTCCAATTCTGTTTAATAAAGCTGTCGTTCTCAGAAGTTGGGCTGCATTCGAATGGGGGAGAAAACTAAATTATTGGCAGCATTCAATGTGGAAGAGGCATGACCTGCACAGGAGCTGACAGTGATACTTGGACTTGTGTTTGTGTATGTTTTTTTTTATATTCATTTATTTATCTCTGTGATATACTTAAGAACTACTATAAACTATACAGGAGTACTTTTGGGACTAGGGGACCCGCGCACTGCATTACTGGCGAAAAGCATTGCTTCGCAAGCGCGTTGACATCTATTCCCTTTTTCCTTTCAACCCAGCATGCTATCCGTGGGATGAGGGTGTGGGTCCATCGCCCTTTGGGTTAGTTGTCCCACCAGGTCTGCAATCAGTGATTGCTGTTCCTTCTGGCGGCGTCCCTATAACTCGGCTTTGGTGTCTACTTGCGTAACACTATCCTGCGTGGCGTCCGAGATGGTTCGGAACGAGCACGCGATCCTGATAGCGCACAATCTGCATGGTGACTTCACCCTTCGCATGTAGCTCTTCACCTTCGCGTCTTTAGCCCACACTGGCGCCGCGTAGAGTATCTGCGATGTCACGACGCTCGTCAGCAGCTTCCTCGTTGCCTGTTTCGGCATCTAGTGTTTAGAAGCGGACTTGCTGTGGACCTACTCCTGGTGCTCTTTGAAGGACAGGCGGGTGTCCATGAGGACTAGGTACTTGATTGACCTTTGCGATTGGTTGCTGGTTGCCCCCCAACCAGCACTCTGCCGGTTTCGACCACTGTTCTACTTAATAAAAGGAACTCCTCCGTATTTTGAGCCACTCGGACACAACGTTGGTGTGTGTTTCTTTTTAGATAGGAGTGGGTTTCACTTCATCAGAATGAGGGAATAACATAACCCCCTAAACTGATACATAGAGGTGTATGCATTCCAAATTTGTTTTGTTTTCTATCTTCTGATCAATAGCAATCGTACTCCGATTTCTATTTCATTTGCTTTTGATAAATTAATGCCAAGGCACTTGGCGCGGGCATCAAGTCGCGCATTTTAAAGCCTCGGCTCACCCTTCGGGCTCTACTGCGGCGCTGCTCCACACACCGCTTCCATTTGCGGGATGCGGCACGCGACTTGCGACTCGCGACTATGCCCCTGCGTCTGAACAAAAAAAGCAGGAAAAAAAAACAAAAGCAGACAAGAATTCGGCTAAAATGCCAGTCATGTAGCGACGGAACGTTTATTTATTTAATTTATTCCGGTTTCTGTTTCACTTCTCTTCTCCTCTTCGTTGACAAAACATTGCCCGAAATGATTAAGCCGCCGTAAAGGTGTTAGACGCCCCCCGCCTCTCTCCCCCCCCCCCCCCCCCCCCCCCCCCTCCCATCTACAATGCTTCACCCCGTTGTTCACCCTGTTCCCTGTTGCTCCATGCACTCTTAATGATCGACATAACGTGATCCATCTCATAGCTTGCACTGGGTTCCGCCTGGCGTCAACATCGTTATGTCTGATGGATTTATGGAGCGCTAATTGGTTGTTAAATCGCTTTTAGTTAAATATTCGATGCCGATATTCGATCATGGCCGTAGGAGATCTCCATCTTCTTGTGGAAAATGGAAATGCCAAACATTAGTGTTCACAAATTAAGTTATAATTCGCTGGAACTTGATTAAATAGTTTACAAATTGTAATTGAGTGACTAACGACAGATCCTTGGAATGCGATCAGAAATCTAGTAGAGTTCCTTTCCGTATAGTCTACTAGTTTTCTGCAGTTTTCATTGTCGGCTGCTCTCAGGCAAAAAACAAAAACAAAAAAAAAAGCACAACACACAGAGCCATCTATCTCAATCCCAATGATTCGTGACACTTAGCAAATATTTGCACGCTCATTTGCTATTCCCTGTGGGGGTACCGGTACCAATGCATTGGTGATATACAAATGTATATCTTAATCGCATTTTCTATCCAAGTACATTCCAAGAATGAACGGAAACATAAATCGACTCCAGCATTTAAGAGGAAGTTCTCGTTTCACATGTAATTCTTTAATATATGAAACCAAAAACATCAAATGGAAAAATTATTCGACGGACATAATGACATGTGTATAAATTTAGGCGTGAAAATGATGCCCTGAATCACTTTACAAACAATTTGTGTAGAGATCTTGGTAATTCGTTGATCGTATAATCAGAACTTCTTTATTGTCTTCTTTGGAAACGTAATTTATATATATCCATACTGATATTATAAACTAGAGATATCCCAAGATAAGTGACACTTAAGCAGAGATAACTTGAAGTTAACTTGCTGCCACACTGGTCGTACGAGTACGACGCAGATCTATTTATTATAGACTCAAATGATATCTGGCTCAAATTTGATTCGCAAATACTAGACCAAGTTCTGTTTTTGTTGTTTGATAAAACGATAGCTGCTCCGTTAGCTCTCTTTTTCTCTTAGTCTCTCTTATCGGGCATTGGGAGGTCTATGACATTTGGTGGGCTCTGTTAGAGCCGGGGAGAAGCCGCGAATGGTGGAAAGGGGACAAAAGTCTAAATTTAGAAAGAACTTTTGACAGTCCATCGAAGCGTTACGTTGATAATATTCGTACGATGTGTATAACTCTTTTTTCTCTATTTTTTTTCTGGGCCGTAAGCTCCCTTGTGTGGGCCACTTTCCGACGGTTTGAGCCACCATCGGGGGAAACAATATAGGGCCAAGGAGTTCCTTTTGCTGAATATGTGCTTATATTCCTCTCTATGTATATAGTTTCTCTCTCTGTCTCTCTTACTCTCTCTATAACACACTTTGCAGCACGTGCAAATTGCACTTTCACTATTCTCTTCCTCTCTCTCTCTCTCTCTCTCTTTGGAATGCTCTTTCGCCAGAGTCGAGACTTGTTTGTCGCATTCGCATACGCAGCAGAAGGCGTTCCGAGTAAAGTCCAGCGAATGATGCCAAAGTTCATCCGTGATATCGTGGCTTGTTCTACCAATAAATAAATGAGCTTATCCAAAAATTACATAATTACTTGGGACACTAGGTTACTCTTATCACACTAAAACGGGAAACTAGAAAAGGGCGATTACAGCGATATTCTTGGCTTTACCAGAACCTACGTACAGCAAAGGATCATGTGCTCATGGTTGAAACTGAGGTTGAGCGATCGAATAGGATGTTCTTACTGAAAGATCAAACATTCTGATGATAGGAAAACAAAAACGGTGGATATTACTGGATCAGTGAGCAGAATTACCAGAAGGAGTAATCCTCTTGATGGTCTTCCTTAATGGTGTAACAGACTTTTT